CTTTTAAAAATACGACTTTATTTTAATTAGACATGTATATTGATTACAAGTGCTAACGAAAGTTCGTATGCTCGCTACCAGAGTTGGCTTAAGACTAACTTACAATGCTATTGTTCTTATGCTAGAGAAATATTATCCTATCTGGTAATTTGACCCTCAGGAATGTTATCAACATCCGTTACGTTAAGTCAGACGATGATTGTTACAATGTAATACAATGTTCTTAGAATATCTCGCTGACGCGGGCATTCGTGGGGGTCTCAGCATACGTAACTAGGTAATGGATTGCTAAAAATAGCAAGTCTTCTCTGTTTACATATACACATGTCTAAGGGTCTAAAGGTATAAGGGTCTAAGAGTCTAAGAGTCTAAAGGTCTAAGGGTCTAAAGGTATAAGGGTCTAAAGGTATAAGGGTCTAACGGTCGAAGAGTCTAACGGTCTAAGAGTCTAACGGTCTAACGGTCTAAGAGTCTAACGGTCTAAGAGTCTAACGGTCTAAGAGTCTAACGGTCTAAGAGTCTAACGGTCTAAGAGTCTAACGGTCTAAGAGTCTAACGGTCTAAGAGTCTAAGAGTCTAACGGTCTAAGAGTCTAAGAGTCTAAGGGTCTAAGGGTCTAAAGGTATAAGGGTCTAAAGGTATAAGGGTCTAAAGGTATAAGGGTCTAACGGTCTAACGGTCTAAGAGTCTAACGGTCTAAGAGTCTAAGAGTCTAACGGTCTAAGAGTCTAACGGTCTAAGAGTCTAAGAGTCTAACGGTCTAAGAGTCTAAGAGTCTAAGGGTCTAAGGGTCTAAGGGTCTAAAGGTATAAGTATCTAAAGGTATAAGGGTCTAAAGGTATAAGGGTCTAAAGGTATAAGGGTCTAACGGTCTAAGAGTCTAACGGTCTAAGAGTCTAACGGTCTAAGAGTCTAAGAGTCTAACGGTCTAAGAGTCTAACGGTCTAAGAGTCTAACGGTCTAAGAGTCTAACGGTCTAAGAGTCTTAGAGTCTAACGGTCTAAGAGGCTAACGGTCTAAGAGGCTAACGGTCTAAGAGTCTAACGGTCTAAGAGTCTAAGAGTCGAAGAGTCTAAGAGTCTAAGAGTCTAAGAGTCTAAGAGTCTAAGAGTCTAAGAGTCGAAGAGTCGAAGAGTCGAAGAGTCTAAGAGTCTAAGAGTCTAAGAGTCGAAGAGTCTAAGAGTCTAAGGTCTAAGAGTCTAACGGTCTAAGAGTCTAACGGTCTAAGAGTCTAAGAGTCTAACGGTCTAAGAGTCTAATGGTCTAAGAGTCTAACGGTCTAAGAGTCTAACGGTCTAAGAGTCTAACGGTCTAAGAGTCTAACGGTCTAAGAGTCTAACGGACTAAGAGTCTAACGGTCTAAGAGTATAAGAGTCTAAAGGTCTAAGAGTCTAACGGTCTAAGAGTCTAAGGGTCTAAGGGTCTAAAGGTATAAGTATATAAAGGTATAAGGGTCTAAAGGTATAAGGGTCTAAAGGTATAAGGGTCTAAAGGTATAAGGGTCTAAAGGTATAAGGGTCTAACGGTCTAAGAGTCTAACGGTCTAAGAGTCTAACGGTCTAAGAGTCTAACGGTCTAAGAGTCTAACGGTCTAAGAGTCTAACGGTCTAAGAGTCTAACGGTCTAAGAGTCTAACGGTCTAAGAGGCTAACGGTCTAAGAGTCTAAGAATCTAACGGTCTAAGAGTCTAAGAGTCGAAGAGTCTAAGAGTCGAAGAGTCTAAGAGTCTAACGGTCTAAGAGTCTAAGAGTCTAACGGACTAAGAGTCTAACGGTCTAAGAGTATAAGAGTCTAAAGGTCTAAGAGTCTAAGAGGCTAAGAGTCTAACGGTCTAAGAGTCTAAGGTCGAAGAGTCTAACGGTCTAAGAGTCTAACGGTCTAAGAGTCTAACGGTCTAAGAGTCTAACGGTCTAACGGTCTAAGAGTCTAACGGTCTAAGAGTCTAACGGTCTAAGAGTCTAACGGTCTAAGAGTCTAACGGTCTAAGAGGCTAACGGTCTAAGAGTCTAAGTGTCTAAGAGTCTAACGGTCTAAGAGTCTAAGAGTCGAAGAGTCTAAGAGTCTAAGAGTCGAAGAGTCTAAGAGTCTAAGAGTCTAAGAGTCGAAGAGTCGAAGGGTCGAAGAGTCGAGAAAAAGAAGAAGAAGAAGAAGAACTTATTGCGAAGATTAGTTTGGATAAGCCAAATAAAAGTTCATAGTCTCTGCCTACCCCTATATGTAACAGGCGTGAAAATGTATACGTTTTTAACTTAATCGAATCGAAAGTTACAGTTCAGTGTTTCATCCTAAAAAATGTATCCCTTACTTCAGTGGTTTGATGCAAAGTGTCAAATGAATTTAACAGAAGTAGTTTATTCCAAATTGTACTACAAGTATCAACTACAAATAGAGTTCAATTTTGTCAAATGTTACGATCTTTTCGCACACCTTGACTGCTTCGTTACTTATGACGCTGTGGCTGCTACGATATTTATGGGCACCTTGCATGTACTCATATATTTGACGCCATGTACCGATGTATTTGAGCAGGGTGAATGTATCTATTAATTTGAGGACTTTTGTTGTACCGATATAATTGATTACTTTTGGTGTACCTATATATTTGCATATCTTGTCTGTTACGATCTATATCACGCTGACTGTACATCAAGGCGTCGTCGGTAAGTTGAGTTGCAGCTCAACGGTTCGAATCTATATGACCTGAATTTATAAACCGGTTCAAACCTGATTTACACACGTATTATTTTGAAAGTAACACATAAAAGGTTACGCATTTACGCTAATATACTGACATTTTGCCTTTTTTGAAGACAATGAGAGATGGCAATGTAATATAGGTGATAATCGAGATTTACAAAACCCGTTCAAAGCTAGGGCGTATCGCTAGTATGCTCTTATCAAACGTCGTAAATATTGGTTTGATATCAGATATACAAACAATGATGGGAAACTATTTTAACCGCAAATTATCAAGTGATTTTTATACATGTACCCGAGGTTTGATAAACTTTTGACATTTAAAAGCGCGCGCAAACGTAATGTGGTATAGTTGACTTCTAGAAATAACATAATCTATGGTGAACATCACAAATAATATTAGAAATAAAAAACAACAGTATCTTATAAAAAATTTATTTAAAAGCATTAAAACACGACTGACCATATGTAACTACAAATTGGCACTTAAATATTATTTACTAAGAAAAAAAAACAACATGATATTCATAGCTTTTTACAGATTATGCAGTAAATCTACAACAGAGTATAAAAGTAAAAAAAAATCTGTCACGTTCACTTCAAACGAGGGTGGGTTTTTTTAAGTTTTTTTTCTTAAACCATAGTTTAATGGTACAAAAGTATATGGAATGATTTCTCAGTCAAGATATTAAATTTAAATATATTTTCGATATCAAAAAATCTTTTCCCTTCAAATAAAATGACAATCATATAAAGGTATGAATAAATCTTAATATTATTTTTTTAATTATTTGTAATTAAATAGTTGCCATTTTTCAGCCCATGATTAATTAGTATTATTTTTGTTTTAATAGTTTTTAAACATTAATCAAATATTTTTCCTAAAATAAATAAAGGATTGGACACAAAAATATTATTGTCTATGAAGTAAATTCTACAAAAAAAAAAACAAAATTGGCAAGAACAATTAATTCGACTTTCAGAGAGTATTTCCTATAATTATTATAAAAAAAACATACTACTTATAAATGCTTTCAGCCGTGAAAAAATTAGTTTTTTTTTTATATTGATATCTTCAACACATTTGACGTGATATTTTTTGTAACAACAATAAATTTTGTAAAATGTCTAAAAATGGACGGTTGATTTTTTTTTTTTGGATTTTTTATTTTTTAATAAAAAACCTATTACAAACAGAGAGCTTTATAAATTGTTATAATCACACTTTATAATTATTACTAAAAATTATTCTTAATTAATAAAGTTTCTGAGCATTCTTATGATTTAAGGCACATTGAACACGATTCAACTATTATTATGTTATTTATTAAAAAGAAAAAAAGAGTATTCGAAACGCATAAATCTGGAATTCGAGAAATTAAATTCAATATTAAACATCACAAATACAACTAAACTTTAAAATATCACATAAAAAACTCTTGAATTAAACTTTAGAACCACTGTTAAACAAATGTATAAATATAACTCATACAAAATAACTCTGCAATGTATTAAAGCAGTCTTTCACAAAGTGGGCAATAACGCCCCCTTGTGGGCGCTGCAGGTCTCAAGGGGGGCGGTGAGAGACCCAGAAAGAAAATGGAGGCGTTGTGTAGAGGCCTGGGGGGGTGATTGTAATTTTATTTAGCTAGGAGGCCTCTTAGACAACGACTGCATGAACTCTCGACTCTCAACAACAACTTGTGAACATAAACGAATATGAATTAAAAGATTGCTTAAACTCTAATATGGGAGCGCTAAAAAAATATTTATTCTCAAAGTGGGCAGTAGACAAAATAAGTTTGGGAACCACTGTATTAAAGTTTGCACATGGCAATACTGATTGTCCAACAATCAAACATCTTGTCAAACATGTTTGCCAAATATATAGCGTTATTTGACGCTTTGGAGTAAATTTTATTTACAAGGCAGTGAACGAGCGTAAAAACGATTTACCAATATTGGAAATGTAACTTAATAAAATTTTGTCAAACAAGTTCAGAATGGTAGACAATCATACTAAACGCCTTAGAGACGCGACATTCAAATAAGGCAGCCATATTTTTTATTACCTACTAGCTGTCGCCCGCGACTCCGTCCGCGTGGATATATAAAAAAACTTAATGTATAGATAAGTTAAATAAAAAGCAGCTCTTCAAGGGATAAATTCTAAAAAAAATGAATAAATAGTATCCTATGTCCGTCTCCTGGCTCTAAGCTACCTCCTCACTAATTTTCAACCATATCGGTAAAGTCGTTCTTGAGTTATAAATAGTGTAACTAACACGACTTTCTTTTATATATATATATATATATATAAGCTATGCAGAATTATCTTGGATGGATTATAAAATCTCTTATATCATAAATAATTAGGCTATGTCTTATTTGATATTAACTGATGCCACTTCGTTTGCCAATCCGCAAACGTTAGTACCAATAGCCAAGTTCAAATAGCCAGCATTGCCAAACTCTTTGCCCCAAGAATTCTTCACTATATAATGAGGGACGTCAGCGGACAGATCGTAACCAATCAGTTGGACAGCGTGGTTTAGGTCACGTGGTTCACCGCTGGAAAACGTCAAATGTTCGTAGAATTAAATACAATTTCCACTAAGGATTGTTTATCATAAGAGCTATAATTTAACACGAATCAGAGCGTCGGTGGCTCAAGGCTTAAGCGCTTGATTTATAATCTATAGGTTCTGGGTTCGAATCCCGCCATGTACCAATGTGTTTTTCGATTTTCCGATTAACATATGTACATTTATCCGACATCCTTCCGGTGAAGGAAAACATCGTGATGCTGCACATATCTGAAGAAGAAATTCAAAGATATGTGTGAAGTCAACGTGCACTGGGCTATGGTTGACTATGGCCTAGTCACTAACTTAGAGTAGGCTCCGAGCCCCTCATTGGGGACGTATAGTGAGCTGATGATGTATGTGGATAAGCATTCGACTAAATTGATCTGTATGAGTCGAATGGCTTTGCGTTGAAATGGGTAGGAAATTAACGTCCTCGACTGTGTCATGCAAAGTTACGTATATATGACATACTATGACTTAATAATATCAAAAGTAATATTGCAAATAGAACATTTCATAATTTCATAAACGTTTTATACACTATTTTGAATATTTTTAAGTTGCAAATCGAAAACTGGGTAAGGTCTGTAAAATTTTTTCTCGGTGTCTCCTGAAACACAGTTTCAACTAGTTCCGGAGATAGAGCCGATAAAATTTTGTTATTTTTTTTTTCTTAATAAAGATTTTTTTATCATTTACCCTTTTTTATCTGAAAAGATACAGGAATATATTTACCTGCAGTGATATTGTATAACTCCACCTAAATAGTTCTGCCAGGTGAGAGCGTTCACAGCGACCGTCACAGGGCCGTGAGTCGCGATCATTTCCAGTATCTTATCCTCTGTATCCACAAAACTGGAATAAACAAGAAACCTTTTACACTTCCTATTGCTTTTAATTGTCTAAACAATTTTGTAAAATCACTTGCAGTCGCCCGCGATTCCGTCCACGCGGACTTACAGAAAACTTAATTAGTAGCCTATGAGTTCTTCCAGATTGTTTTATATCTATGTTAAACTGATCAATGCAGCCATTCTGAAGATACAAACATCCATCCATACATCCAAACATTCGCATTTATAATATTAGTAAGATAGTAAGATATAGTTATCTCCCTCACTTTCTTTGAACAAAAAACAAAGACAATATATATCAAATACAAGTATCACGGTAGTTTATTTAACGGTTAAATGTATCCAATACACTTAGAGTCTTTTAGATAAGATTTGGTATGAGAAGTCTACACTAAGAGGATCATTTAGTAACCTATCCCCCCCCATCCCCATTAGGTTACATAGACTAAAAGCCTAGACACTCCAAACTAAGGGTAGCTCGAACCTCAAGGAGACATATAATCACATGTTATTCCATTTTGACCTTCTGCATACACGCTAAAATGATTTAGAATAGTAAGGTTTATGAATTCCGTTTCTTATTTTTCCCTAGAGTTAGTTAACCTTTTTTATTTATAACCTTTTTCAAGCCAACACCATTAGCCAACTTACTCATTACAAGTGAAGCTCTCGACTCGTACACCAGTTCCAGTGGCATTAGCTTTGCACACGCCGTCGCGTAGCTTCAGCGGATACTCCTTGTCGGCTAGCACTGGCGTGTCCGTCATCATCAGCCAGTCCAGCAGCAGACAGATATCGCCACCTTCGCATCCGCTGTTTCCCAGCCCCGCGCAGTCTATTGCTTCCTGACAACATTGAGGATTTGTTATTAATAGCCTATGTGTTCTTCTATTTTTTGTAAATTTACTAATATTTCTTGTACCATTCCAACTAAACTCTATGCTTGTAAGGACATGGTTTACGACAATAGTCGAATGGTGGGATTCGAACACCCGACCTCGTGATAGGAAATCCGCTTAAATTAATTTTAGAGATGCAGCCGTTTTGGAAATATCTTCTATAATAATAAACATCCATCCATCGTAACTTTCGTATTTATAATATAAGTAAGATAAACTCAAAAAAAAGCTAATTACATCACGTGACTTTATTCGAAAAAATCAAAAACTGACCTATATTAAATCGTGTTTTCTTTACGAAATATCAAATTTCACTTTCATGCTTCAATTTATTTAGTAACAATTAAGATTATTAAATAAAGGAAACAACAAGATTCAACAAAACATATAAAAAAAATATCTCAGTAGAAAATAATGAAAATCAAGACATTAAAAAAACAAACACCCCAAACTGGAATGTAACTGGACGAATGAACGGGGATTGTAAATGCTTAATTATGTTTTTTTTTTTAATTGAAGGAATAATTTAGGAACTATCTGTCGTCCGCGACTCTGTCCGCGATGTATTAAAACAAAGATCTGTGTCAATTTTCATCCATCTAAACATTTATAATATTAGTAGAATTGCTATTAATTTATCCAACTAAAGATCAATTTTATTTTGCCTTATGTATTACACCATTTTACATACAAATAAAATAAAATAAGTGAAGCAATAAATTCTGTATTAAAAAGTCAAAACACAGTTAGTCTTATGTTAAATAAATTAAAGTAAATTTCAGTTCAATGGCCTCCAAAAGGGTCCTTAAAACGTAAACAACTTCAAAAAAACATTTACTCCGAAAGTGTCAGTTTCGAAAAAACAACCAAAACTGCACAAAATCTTAAAACCGGTCGAAAAATGCATTCGCCATTCAAAACTCGTTACTGTTATGGTTATTTCCACTAAGCGGGAAGTCGCACGACTTTATCACAAAACAGACTGCATTATGTATTAATACATGTATCACAGTAGAGATATTGGTGGGCCTAGCATGAATATTTGTGATAAACGCCATCGTATCGTCATCGACAAAAATTGAATTAAAGTTTATGCAGCACCCCCTTATCGGCCCTAAAGTACACAAAAAATCTCATGCTAATTTTGACGAAATTGACGATGATAACACACATCTCGCAAATATACATGTTAGGCCCACTGTTATATTGTAACGCTTTGGAGTTAATTCTATCTATATTATTACTTTGAATTCAAACCACCGCTACAAACCTCTATCATCAACACCAAAATGGCTGAAATCAAGGCACAAAATACTATATTTTATAGCCAGTCCACTTATATGTCACTGATTTTCTCCGATTTCAAAAAAGAGGTTCTAAATTCATTTGTTTTTGTCTATTTCTATCCTAGAAAAAGCACTGTTACGTATTCTAATTATACCTTACCTGTACACTTAGAGGCTGCAGTTTCCCTGTAGACATGGCTGCCATAGTCTCCATGACACCTACCGTGCTGAACGCCCAGCACGCTCCACAAAGACCTTGATCCCTGACAGGGCCAACCACGCCTTTGTCTCTCCTAAAAAAAAAAACAACAAAGTGACGACGTGATGGTAGATATTTGACGGTCGGACTTCTTTTTTCTAGTGTATTGGAATTTTAAATCATCCTATGATCTATTACGAATATTTGCGTGACAGTTGCGAAAACATATTATTAACGACATCGACAAAATTTATGAGACATGTTGGTGGATTTTACGCTCAATAAGCGCTTCTAGAAGTCTACTAGTCATCAGTTATCAAAATTCGTGTGCTTCAATGAAATTTCAAAAGGATACAATTAGGTTTGTTAGTATTTTTGAATAATGGCTTGTTCTATTTTGCATATTGAATTGTTCATAAAGATAAGCAGTGGTAGATCCCGCTTTAATATCTTCGCATGAATTGTCCCGGCTCGCCTGGTGAAATACCATGACCACACAGAAGATACGCCTCAAGTGGAAGCAATTCCGCGTACAGTCTGACGAGTTTGCGTACCGGAAGCCTAATTTTAGTCCTCTTTCCTTTCCCACACTTTTTCTTATAAGGAAAGTGGAAGTCGACTTTCCGGACGAGAGGATGCATGGGAAGGGAAAATATTTCCCATCTTTGCATCCTCTCGTCCCTCGATTAAAGGTAGGCAACGCATATGCAATTGCGTATATCTATGGACAACGATCACTTCGCTATTTCAGTGATTTCAGATGGCCGCTCGCTCGTTTGCCACCTTATGATATAAAAAAGCTAACGTGTCTTTAAAGAATATCCCAAGTTATTCAGGTCACACGGTCAATTGAACTAACTTCAAGTTATTGGATTGCAACTTAGTCGCTTATAATTCGCGGTATGTAAGCTTAGCCTAGGTCTAAGTTATAAGTTATTAGAGCAAAGAAATTCCATTCATAAACTCAATCCTTGCTTAAACTAAATTTGCCTTTGGTATGTCTTGGTCCAGTAACACGTTTTTAATTATGGAAAATTTTGAACTATTAATTAGCATAAAATATGTTTGTTACTATGCCTTTTTCGTTTTGGTTTCATAATTCTTTTTTTTTATAGAATATTAAGATCTACAAACACGTTACAAGGGTGTCAAAAGTGCGTGTCACTTCAAGAAAAGGTCAATACGCGCACGACCCGACGGGAGTACCATTATTCTCATTTCCGAAATTAACATCCTGTACTTCGTATACATTTAATCCCTGAAACGTTATTTACAAGCTGTTGCCTGGGATTTCGTTTGCGTGGAATTAAAAAATATATATATAACCTGTTACCCGGAGTTAGTGTAGCTTCCAAACAGTGGAACAATTGCAAATCGATTCACTTTCGGAGCCTATTCAATGAAATCAATCATATCTTTCCTCTTTATAATATTACTAGCTGTACGCGAAATTAAAAAAAAAACCTTAATTAGTAGCTTATGTGTCTTTCTACACTGTCGTACATCTATGTCAAATTTCAGCTAGATCGGTGTTTTCCAGAAATACCTTCTAACAAACATCCATCCAAACATTCACATTTATAATATCAGTAGGAGGATATGAGTCGCATCTTAATATCAGATGCATGGAACCAATTTATTAATAACGAATATTATTATTAAATTGGGTAAAGTTTGTTTTGCATACTAATGAATGCATAAACATGATTAAAATTTACGAACATAAACCCAAAACTGGTTTATGTACCTTGATCGCTTTATATAATGTTAAAAACTGGTCATTTACATAAAACACAAAAGTACATTATTCCTTAAAATGCAGTAATTAATGTACTTATTATATTGAAGTGTCTGCATTTAAAAAAAAATTCAAAATGTCTGTCCGTAAATCCGTATTTAATCTATGAAATGGATATTCTTTGACGGGGCTCTTAATAGAAGATAGCTTATGTATAAGGAAATACCTCAAGTTTCCGATCCAAATAAGATATGACCTAAAGGTCTATGTTACCAGGTCATAAATTAAAAAAAAATGTAGCTTTCGAAGTATTCAATCAAATCTTTCTTTTTAATAATATTTGTAAAGACAAACACATTATTTAGTATACATTATCTAACTAAAATTATAAATGCGAAAGTTTAGATGGATGGATGTTGTTTGAAGGTATTATTAACGGCTCAATTGATCTTTATGTAATTTGGCATAGATGTAGAACATAGTCTGAAAGAACACATAGGCTACTTATTAAGTTCTTTTTAATACCGCGCAGATGGAGTCGCGGGCGACAGCTAGTACAGAATAAGAGAAAATATATCTCTTTGTATTAATAACATTTTTTTAACATATAAAATGCCGTTCTTTATAATTAGTGATAATCTCTATAAATGGATATATTCATGAAGGTAAAACAAAATAAACATTGAAAAAACTAACAGTAGATTATTGTTATGAATGAATTATCCTTGTTCAATATCATTACTTATAAGAAATGAAAGAAGGTTTTTTTTGTGAATAAGCTAATCTGAATAAACATCAATTTAAAATTTTCTTCTTACCAATATATCTGTTGGACGGATTAACTTACTGATCAATAACACTAATGACACCCTTTTTTGCTATTAAAATTTACATTATTAAGGTTAGCTTTTAATATGCTGTGATGCAATAGTAGGTGTGTAAAGTAAACATAAAATTTAATAAATATATAATCTGTTGTAACTTAAATTAGAAAAAATAGTGTATAAAAACAGTTAGTAGTTAGTCATGATCATCATCAGCTCACTGTACGTCCCCACCAAGGGGCTCAGAGCTTACCCTAAGTTAAGGGTGATTAGGCCATAGTCAACCACGCTGGCCAAGTGCGGGTTGGTTGACTTCACACATATCTTTGAATTTCTTCTCAGATATGTGCAGGTTGTATCACGATGTTTTCCATCACCGTAAGAACGTCGTATAAATGTACATATGTAAATCGGAAATCGAAAAACACATTGGTACATGACGGGATTCGAACCCAGGACCTGCAGATTGCAAGTCAAATGCTTGACCCCTGAGCCACCGACGCTCTTCAGTCTAGTAGTTAGTAAATAATGTAAATTAAAAATGTATTAACTACATGATAAGTGCACTTCAATGTCATACTATCTATTTGTTTGTCCAATTAAATAAATATGACATCAAATTGTGTACAAATTATGTATTATCATGTAATTTTTATTCATCAAAAAAGATGCAATTTCTTTTTTTTAAATCTAAAATGGTAAGCAAGTATTTTTTTATAATATTAAACCTCAGCCTAATTGTTTAAATTTTAATTATACAATGTTACAAATTCAATTAAGTTGCAGTCAATTTCATTTATTTTTACAGTTGTTTTAATACCTAATAGTTTTAAGATCATCATCAGCTCACTATACGTCCCCACCGAGGAGCTCGGAGCCTACCCTAAGTTAAGGGTGATTAGGCCATAGTCAACCACGCTGTGCAGGTTGCTGCACTATGTTTTCCTTCACCGTAAGTTTTAAGATAAGTAAGCTTAATTATAATGTGTATTCCTTTACAATATACTATGTGATGTATTCAGCTGTTTGTAAGTCACAAGAAATCAAACACCCATCTATCCAAATTTCCTTATTTGTTATATTAATAAGAAGAGAGATATTATAAACACTTACCAATCAACTTTTAAAGGCAAAGTAGCTCTTTTCTTTCTGATAATAATATAAATATTGTTATGAGGTGAATTGCCGGATGAATTATCACTCTCTGCGTCATCTATATCAAACACGTTGCTTGTTTTATTATTCTTCTTGTTGTAATTCTTATTTTCTCTATGTCTTCTTTTATGTGGTTTCTCATCTGATAAATGGACATCTCTGTACTCGGCTTTCGACATATCTGATAACTTAGTCAGACCATATCGAGCTCGATGCTGTTCCGGACCTCTAGACTCAGAATTGAGAAGTTCAATTTCTCGTACGGACGCCTTAAAAAAGTTTTAAAAACTTTAGTAACTGTATATTGTGCAATAAAAACTTAATGTATAATTAATAACATTTTAATATCTTACCACGAAATATTTAAACCTCGTTTCGTATTCCTCTGGATTGTCTTTATAAGTTTTATTAAACTTTTGAATGTAATTATCGTACATGGGTTTTAATTTTTCCTTTTCATCACCACTAAATGTTAAAGGTATTGCAATAAACAGTAAACAAAATAATGCTATTCCTAACATCCAGTTCCACCATTTCTTCATTTTGATATTAAGTGAAATAAATATAAAAATATTAAAATGAAAACACGTCCGTCCAAGTCACACGAAGAAAACAATAAGTTTTGACTACTGATAAATGACAATTAATGGCCAAAGTTACGTCAAAGTGAAATATTGACCACAGACTAAATTAAGTAGTAGAGTTATAGATTATGCTTAGAGTAAACATTAGCATTTTCATTAAAGGCAATTTTCTCTTTTCTTTAATTTTCACAGATATTGGGTAATTTTTCTGCCCTAGTTTATTTTTTGTGTTATTCTGACACCTGCGAGTGAGCAAGTGAACTGAGAATATATAAAAAAATATTCAAGTTAATAAGGATGTGCAATTATTCCGACCGTTTAACGATTAAAAACATTTTGAAAACACGTTAATATTTATTTGTACTTTTATATTTTATTTTACATGCTATACATAATTAAATATATAAATTCATATCATACAATTAAGGTTATTTAACGGTCCTTTTTCATAATATCGAATGTTATAAAACTCCATCTGTGCTCTATGGTTGCACCGATTCCGGACGTCTTGCATTCGAAAACATCTGTGTATTTTTGAAGAATTTGTAATACAGTGCTTTGGGTGACATTATGTGTCATAGACCTTACGTATGACACGAGGTAGTCCAGGGTAGCACCAAGTGGATGAACCATAAGGAAGGCTGTAAGTATGCTGATGAGCTTCGCGTCTGTTGGTGGTACTGAAGGTGACGAGGTGTTGACTTTTTTGTCATCTGGTGTGGGTGGAGGTGGTAAGGGCTTGGATACTTCATGCATAGTATCGGGTTTGTAATTCGGTAGTGGCGGGTACAACTGCAAAAGAAAAAAATGGCTTTAAATTCGCATAGCGTTAGTGACCATAAATTCTGTTCTATGTTTATTTTTGTGAATGGAAGTCTTTAGGAACAATGATTGATGATATTCTGCAATAAAGTCTCTCGTTTATTACAAAAACATACTTTTTGATTCTGCATTGCTTGTTGGGCTATAAAGTGGGCTTTGAACTTTTCAAACTTCCTTTCCGCTTCGTCCTTTGCCAAGAATGCTTCGTTTTTGTACCCCTCTAATTCATATGACAGATTTTCATTCTCAGTCTGTAAGAAATAAAATATTAAAATTAATCTAATTCAATGCAAAGAACAGTTTAGATATTACAATAATAAACTTTATCTCACCTTCAATTTATCGTATTTTTCTTGAGAAACCATAGGTTTGCCTGAGTTAGTCCCACCATCTTCATCCTCAAAAACAGTTTTAAACTCCTCTTTTATGTTTTCTACCTCCTAATGAATTAAACGTAATACATTTTTAAAAACATAAACAACAAAGCGAACATTGGCTGTAGGTTTTCCAGGTCTATTCTTCACTTTAGTCTATTCTATTTTTACTTTGGTCTTCAGTTTACGATTCATATTTAACCTTTTTTTAAAAAATAATAAATAAAATTTATGCAGAGAAAAAAGGTTTTAATAAATATTTATTACAATATCACTTAGGGCTGTATCAAAATTAACTTACCTTGAAGTTGAAAATTATATTAATCTGCCAACCCTATTTATAAAGTACTTACCTCAGTCATTTTCAGCCACATCTCGACATTACGTCGCTGCTGCTTAGTGAGGTGATCAGAGACTCGTTGGTGTTTTGCCGCTGTCAGAATTTTTGCGACCTGTTCGACTGATAGTAAAAGGTTATTTTAAATGCCATTCGGCCTTACCAACTCACTGCCAACATTCCAAGTAATTTCAAATTTCAAGAATAGACACAAAATTATAGTTTTAAACCATGACATTCCTAGATTTTTCGTTACTAAATGAACTATTTACATCAATTACTTTACTACAGATAAAAATAATAAAGGAATATTATGATATAAAAGCCTATATGGTTTTGTTTCTATTCAACATTTGGCCATTTATTAATAGAACGAATTAGTATTATAATAGCAAAATGTGGCAAACTAGTAAGCGTAAGTTTAAGTGACTTGAATTCGCCATAATACCAAAGTGACAGTTGCCCATAGACATCTGTATTCACAGATGTGTTCCCTACCTTTCAACGACATAGTAGACATATAGAAAGAGGGTATTTCCTAATGATTCCCCTGCTCTGCCAAATGAGGTGGATTTCCACGTAGCATCTTTATTTATAAGAAAAGGTATGCTTATAATGCGGAAGGGGAATAATATTTGACCACCGGCACAATCATGGACGAAACGCGGAATTAATTCCTTTTTAAACCATTGCATTACATTTTTTTAATTTTTTTTTTTATCAAAATAAGTCAAAAAATAATTTATATCTAGAAAAAGTTACTTACATTGCATAACAATACGTGCGAATCTATCTTTTAGGGAAGTCTTTAAATTTTGAAATTCCTCATCCAGTTGCATTTTCTCATTGAACAATCTTCTAAGTTGGTTGTTGCTCACTTGTATTAGAGAATAGAAAATATTTGCATTCTTCTTATTGCATTCTCCACGTTCCAACCATACAGCTAGAGTCTGAAAATAAAAATTAGGACTTTCGTTAATTAAATCTAAAAAAAGGTTGGGGAATAAGTCCATAAACTTCGATTTAAAAAAAAACAGCCTTTCAACAATTGTTTTTATTATAAACTAGCGGTCACCCGCGACTGTGTCAGCACGGAATAAAAAAAAGCCTAACTAGTAGCCTATGTGTTCTTCCAAGCTATGTTCTATATGTATACCAAATTTCATCAAGATCCGATCAGCTATGAAATGATCAGCTTATGGAAATATCTTAAAACAAACATCCATCTATCCATCCATCTAAACATTTGCATTTATAATATTAGTAAGATATGTTTTAAATTAAATATTAAAGCAATATACCGGTGCAGATGTGGAGAATTCGTCTTCACTTTTAATCTTGTCTATGATAGCTGTCAGGGCTGTTGGCGTGAATTGCTCCACACGGAAAGGTGTATGTTCAAGATCTTTCTCATATTCAGCTTCATCTTCTCTATTCTAATCAGAAAAAAAAACAATACAGAAAAAAATACATAGATTTGCTAATACATATTTAATAATACTTCTTTAAAATTTCATCTAATTGTGTTAACCCCTTTTGGAAATAAATAAACTACATACTTCCAACAAATGAAACTTTCTCATTTATAATATACTAGCTGTCGCCCGTTACACTGTTTGCAAATTAGAAAAATAACTTAATTACCAGCCTATGTATTCCAGGATATGTTCTACATCTATGCCAAACTTCAGCGAGATCCATGCAGCCGTTCCCATTAGAGACTTTCAAACAAACATACATCCATCTAAACATTCACATTTATAATATTAGTAAGATAATAATTAGTTAACTCACCATGGCATAATCAATAAAAATTGTAGTAGCTTCATTATCTAATTGTTCATGTAATTTGAATCTATATCCGGTCAAAAAGAATGCTTGTTCCATTACATCAGACGAAACGAAACGAACATGAAAGATGCCGTTCCGTGGTGAGTTAACATATATCTCTCCGAATCGTTTGAAAATCTCCGTCACAACATCTGTAGTCACACCATTGGGTAGACCGCCTACAACAACAGTACGACAACCTTTCGGCCGTTCACGTCTAGATGGCACTGATGTCCCAGGAATCGGTGGAAGTAATAATCCCAAAGAGAATATCTGGTTAGGCATTGATTGGTTCATCATCATACTTTGGTCCATCATATTTGGCATTACCATGCCCGGCATCATATGCATTTGAAGATCCATTTGCTGTTGTGGCATTATGTTAGGCATCATATGATTGTATATCATACCTGTAAGATTGAAAGAGCTTGTAACAGCAACTGTATTATCTTTTTTTATATTATAAGGTGGGAAACAAGCAAATGGCGCAGGAACCGCTGCCCATAGACATCCAGGCATGGAGCCTTCCCTAAGTTAGGGATGACTACAGCTTAGTCTACCATGCTGGCCTACTGTGAGTTGGTTAACACATATTTTTGAATTTCTTGGCCAGGTTGCATAACAATTTTTCTTTAAAGTAAGAACATTGGATAGAAGTACATATGTATATGGAAAATCGAAAAACACATACATACACAAGTAACATGCACATGGCGAGCCACCAATGCATATGCATTGCCTAACTTTAATTGACGAAGGAAGAAATATACACAGAAAGAGAATAAAAATTATCTTCATTAGTTTCTTCCTTAGAAACAAGAGAGAGATTACTAAGAGTTATTTGTTAAAATAAACCCATAACTCTTGTAATACATTGTTGTGTCTGTTTTGTAAAAATAATAATAATATGTATAACAAGTGTGTTGAGAGCGGAACTCTATAGTGACTGACTGACCTGGCATCATCATGTTTCCCGGAGGCATGCAAGGTATGAGCGGCATTGCTGGCCTTAAATTGGATCTGTCTCTGTCATCATCCCATTTTGAATGTCTTTTCCTATCATCTCTATCACATCTGCCACGTCTCTCATTACGCTCATGAGATCTTGATCGATGTCTATGGTCTGTATGGAGAAAAGTGAAGTACTATTATACTATGACTAAAATGAAAAAAATATGTCTTTATGGGAACAATATTATGTAACACATTATATTTTAATTAGTGTAGATGTCTTAAATTTTACTATGATTTTTATTAATTGTAATCAATCAATAATTTATACTGTTACGTGATAAAAGTTTGTAAAAATTGTTTCTATTTTAATAAGACATAGAGTAGGAATAAATTGATCACAATTTTTAGTCCAACTTATTTGAAATAGACGTAATACCTCTGTTACGATCTCTCCTGTCCCTTTTGTCTCTACTTCCTTGATCTTGGGACTGGTTTGTATTTTGTGTGCTGCTTTCAGCTTCAACACATTGGACTTCTGCTTGCTTAATGGGTACATTAGGTGTTTCTACATGGTTAACAGGAAGTACTGGACCAATCATTGGTGGCATTATAGAATTCATTGCGTTATGCATTACATATTGCCCATCCCAATTGCTCATTCTGCACTTTTGAAACTGTTTAGTCAAATCAGTTTCTTGATCAAATTTACTTATTATAATTATTTACTAGGATATAGTACTTTGTACGAACGTTTATACTTCTTTCGTCATATATCTACGGCTTATAGTTAATGATGTATTTATCAGAAATTATGCACTTATATATAAATTAACAATTACAATTCATCAATTTTTAATGTTTTACACAACCAAAACAAACCAAACTTTCTGATTTAGACTGACTTTGACAATTGTTTTGACAAGACTACAGATCACAAATAGTTCCAAAGAGTAAAAAACTGTATCGATAAAATTCTTGTTGCCATACGAAACCGGAGTATTAAAACTATGGTTTGATGATTGCAGCTTGGCTTGACAACGATTGTTTTGATTTTTTAAGGAAAATTATTGATAATTCAAGCGACTTCGAAGCAAAATATTGGATAAATAACGTTCCTTGAATTTGTTAGACTAACTTAAGGAAAGTTATGTTGTGCGTCATGAACAACACTATTTATCTCATTATCTGATAATAAAATCAAGGTTGAAGTTGATGTGAAAGCTTTATAATATAAGCATATAAAGCTTTGGGGATGGAGAAATAAACGAAGCGCAGGGAAATAGAATGATATTATTTATTTAATATCACATCACTCTGTATATATGTGATTTATTGTGATCCGAGTATTTAAAATGTGGTGCGTATTATTATAATCAAGATTCTAGTTGGATTTGTAAATGTCAGACCAACCAATCTTATTATTGTGTTACATGTTTTAGTTCTGAATTGCCAAAGGAATTTGAGAAAAACACTGAAGTTTTGCCATTCACGAAATATGGATTGTCGTCGTTAAAAGATTTTTCAAAAGCAGAAAAAGATATACAACATTTGGAGTGGCTAAAAAAAGTGGGATTGTCGAATGAAGAAGTGAAACTATATCAAGAAAACGAAGCTGGTCTTTTAGATCAGCGTAAAAAAATCGAATCCACTGTTTTGAAGTCTAAACTGGATGAGATTTATAATAAAATAAATAATTTTCTAGCCTTTGGCAGGTGAGTTTTATAAAAGTATATTTTCTTTTAAGTAATCATTAATGTCGAATGAATAATTGTATACAAAACCAGTAGCCATATAATTAGCATTTCTAACTATAAATAATAAATTTACTAAAAAATTTCAGTTCAAATCAAAATAATGATGCACCAAGTACTTCGAAAAGTAAAAATGAACAAATACAGGAACCAAAGCTGAAGAGACCACTTCAATTCTATCCGGAAGGTCATCCTATGCATGAACTGAAAGAGATTGAAGAAGATCTCTTTGGTCATTTGAGGAATGATAACATAATGCCAATTACAAAGAGAAGAAAGTTGTTAAGACGCCTTGAAAGAAAGAAGGAAAAGATAATGGGACATCAGAAGCAATTGCAACTTGTTCCAACACAAAATGAAGCACAGCCTTCAACAAGTAAGCCTGGGAGTCTGTGGGATGTAAAAGATATACCGGAAAGACTTCCAGAATGTAGTACATCTAAGGAAATACCAAAAATTACATCAAAAGACAGAATCATTGGCCCGAAAGAGCAGACAATGTATACAATAAAAGATAATAAAATATTAAGATTGGAACCAATGCAAAAAGATAAAGATGAAGCAGGGAATGAATTTCGAGCAGTAGATATTGTGATGCCAGTGAATCCAGCGGAAGAGCAATTGCTGGAAGGAACTAAAATGAACCTGGAAGACATCAAGGCAATAGAAAGATTCAAAGATTATGAACCGGGGATACCATCAAAAGTAAGTTATATATAATAATTCTGTGCTACAAATGAGTTTTTTACGCTTTTTTAAGTTAGTATAGATTTGATGTCCAAATGTTTCAAAGAATCATAACTCCCATCCTACTAATGGTGAATGACATATATTGACAATATAACTATCTCTTTCATACCCTATCAAATAAAACAGAGATAGCAATAAACACTTATAGTAAATCATTTCGTCATCCATCTCAAACAAAACTATCTTACTATTATTAATAAATGCTAAAGTTTACATGGATGGATGTTTGAAGTTATCGCTGGACCGGCTCAATGGATCTTGATGAAATTTGGCAAAGATGTGGAAAATTGTCTGGAAGAATGTATAGGCTACTCATCAAGTTTTTATTTTAATTCCCCGTGGACATAGTCGCGGACGACTGTTAGTATGTTATAAAAAATGTATTGCTTTCAGGTATTATATTTGAAAAACATCTCTCCGGCAGTCTCACAAGAGCGCCTCTCTTTACTCTTCAATCAGTTTTTACTGGACAATGGAGGGCCAATTGATCTACGATTGCTTACCGGTCGTATGCGCGGACAGGCCTTTGTTACCTTTCAGAGTGAGTTTCATATATTAAATTAACATTTAATTCAAACATATATAAAAAAAAAACAAATGACTATGACTCTTAGGGAAGGAATACTAATTGGTTGACTTCTTACTAATATTATAAATGTTTAGATGGGTGGATGTTTGTTTGAATGTATCTCCGCAATGGCTCAACAGATCCTAATGAAATATGACAAAGTTCTAGAACATCGTCTGGTTAAACACATAAGCTATTAAGTTTTATTAATTCTGCACAGACGAAGTCCGGACAGCTGGTAGGGACATATATTCTTTTAGGCTCCAGTTGACCATAATGCAATTTGTGTACAAACCCACAAAACACATTGCCATTGTCTCATTTTCTTTAAAAAAAATACGGGATAATAATACAAACAAGATTGTTTTAAACAATTATCAAGCCGATGGAATTTCAAGGTTATATTTAAAGTAAAAATATTCTTTACTTTGTATTTAAGTTATTTTACACAAAAACAATATGTATCCAATTTTTGACATTATTAGTTAGAGTCATTTGGCACGAATGACGCGCTTTCGTTACAAAGTCAAGTGTCAGTATGAATAGTGAGGGGACATAAACGTCGACATTTTAATAAGGCTAGTGTTGCGCTAGTACACTCGCCCTGTGTTTTCTTCCTAACACAAAGAAGGAAGATAAATAAAATCCATGCATACAATAAAATCATTTATTCTCTAATTCCAGGTGAAAATCTAGCCATAAAAGCATTGGATGAAGTCAACGGTACAATATTGAGTGGTCAACCGATCATCGCACAGTTTGGTAGAAACAGTAACCGCATCCAAGATGACAACAGATAAATATTCATTAAACTTAGTTTAGTATTTTAAGAACTTATTTATATTATCAATCTAATATAACCAAATCAATGTATTATTAAATTATTCAAACTTTCGTGAGACATTATCATAAAGTTATACAAACACGGCTAAAACACTTACATATGAGTGTCCCGTGTCGGCACCGACTAATTCAAGCCCATCGGGTAAATTCAACAAGGTGAGTAGGACTGGTATTATTTCGCGGACGCGGCACTTCGTTCACTTAGCGAAACTAGTCGGTGCCGCTACCGGACGAACATTTGTGAGTGTTTTAGCCGTTTTTATATGTCTGTGTATTACATGCTAAGGTTAATAACTATGTATACATGCTTACAATTAAAATGATTTTTATTTCTAATTAAACCTAACTTAGTTACTGTAAAGATAGTAACCTTGTTCCAATCTTAACCTTTCTTACTATAGACAAACTGCATATTTTTAGAAATTCGTAAACTTTTTACTCCAAAATATTTAATCAAATGTTTTAAATTTAGGTTTTCAAATATATCTCTTCTCTTTATCTCACAATTTTTACAAAAAAATAGCGTATTGGCCGTCTAATCTAAAAAAAATGGTTACAAGAATTCTATAAAAATAATAATGGAATTATTTTATAAATGTTATTTGATTACTATTCAAGTTCTTATAAACTGATAATGGCTGTAATCCAAAATTCCAAGCAAACTCTTATTCATACAAACAACCTCAATTTTATATCTCGTCTAATTTGATCAGAAATATCAAAATACTTTTACACGTATAAAACCTTAAATCCGATGAGGGAGAGCCATAAACAAGAAACAGAACAGTAAAACCTTTAGTAAAGTTCAACATTTACACTACATTAAACACGAATAGATTTATTTAACCGAGGTTCCACTGCCAATCTGTACAAAAACATATTCTTTATTTTTTTATAAAGAAAATAAGCGATTCTCATTATATTTTTATACATGTTTCGGCAATGTAAACGTATTAATGTGTTCACTGCACTAGTGTCTCTAAATCACTTGTTCCTTCGGCGAGGATTTGCGACGTCGTTTGACGACGCGCTTCGGTGACAATCATTCGCCCTCTTTCTTTACTTGTGACTCCTCCGCTGTAACAAATAAATACAAAAATGTATAAAAATACTAGCTGTAGTCCGCGACTTTGTCCGCGCGGATTGAGAAAAACAATTAGTAGCCTATATGTTCTTTCAGGCTATGTTCCACATTTATGCCAAGTTTCAACGAGATCCATGCAGTCGTTCCGGAGATACCTTTAAACAAACATCCATCTATCTATCCATCCAAACATTCGCATTTATATTAGTAATATTTTATTTTACCAATTCATTTTTAAGTTCTTAGGATAGCGAATGTGTCATCGACCATTTTGAATTTATTGTGCTGTACTAAAAAAATCTTAGGATCTCCTATACTCACGTTTGACGAGATGATGGGGCGCAGGGTGAGGTGCAGGATGCTGGGGATGCGCTGGATGCTGCGGGTGGGGGGCGTGGTGCGGCATGTGAGGATGCGCGTGATGCGCGTAGTGCTCGCCCGTGTAGTAGTAACCCGGCGGGAAACCGCTGCCGTAGCCGCCGTAGTACCGCCCGCCGTAGCCAGGACCGTAGCCACCACCTATGAATGGACCATCAAGTTATTATAGAGTATGTCTAGATCTGCGAATCACAATTGAAAGTTTAAATTAGCAAATATTTTTCGATATGACCTTAAGAAAAATGTAATGGCATTTTACTAATAATAGAAAAGCGAAAGTATAAATGGATGGATGGATATTTGTTAGAATGTATATCCAGGTAACTATATCGATCTGGATGGATGGTATAGATATAGAAGTGTCTGGAAGAACACTTAGGATTTTTTAATTTCGTCCAGACGGAGTTGCATGCGACAGCTAGTTAATAAAGTAACAAATATGCAGGGGTCCACATAATAAATAAAAATTAAATGCAAGAAATTACAACATACCAGGGGGCGGCGGTGGTCCGGCATGTGGAGGTCCTTGATGCGGCGGAGCGTTCGCGTTCGGTGGTATCATCATCGCTGTCATAATAATATTAAACATGTATATATAATGAAACTATATAATATAATGAGTAAGAATTTAGAAGCTAGACCTAGTTTTTTACACCGTACATATCCTAATCGTAAATTAAGACAAGTACCATTTGACCTTGGACAAGATACTAAAGCACTAGTAAAGTTATTAAGTGAGAAGTTTACAATGATGGGGCGGCGAAGTGATGTGCTGCTGGGGCGGGGCGGGGCTAGGTCCAGGGCTGGGGCCGGGGCCGGGGCTCGGGCCGGGGGCCGGGGCCGGTGCGGGTGCGGCCGGGGGCGTGGCTGCTGGCTCCTTGGCTTCTACTTTCAGCTCCACTGGCTTCTCTTCTTTATCTATAAGAATGTAAAAGTGTTTTATAACAAGCAAAATAAATCATCATACTACAAGTGATATACGATTAATATATGAATTTTGTCAGTTTGTATTGTAAGGAATTTCGTATCATTGTGAAATTGTGAGAAACGAGTACACATTAGCTTTTACAACCATTTTTATTAATGATTTTTAAAATATATTAAGGGATTATCAATCTATTTTAATAATTTGTGCTGTTCAAAGTCATACCTTGCCCCCGCGGTCATTCGCGCTCTGCTATACCTAACATTGTGTTCTGCGCAACAACTCGTTCGACCTTCTGAGTCATAAACATGTTTGAAATCCTATACTATGGACTTACTTTCAACTTCAGGTGTAGATGCACTAGCTTCAGCCGGCGGAGGTTCCTTAGGGGCTTCAGCTTCAGGCTTATTCAGTTCCGTAGTACTGCTACTATCCGGCTTCACCTCTGTTGTGGATACTTTATCCACTTGAGTTGGAGGATTGGGTCCATTTGCTTCGGGTTTTATCTGATTTGTGTCTTGTTCCATTGGCTGTGGAGATAAATGTTTTTTCATAATACAGTCTGGCTAAAATTGACTGCGTACATCTGATTTCTTTTATATAATAATATGGCAAACGAGCGATCGGTCACGCTGCCTATGGACATCGCATTTGCGAATGCGTTACCTACCTTTGATCATAGGATGGAATGCACAGAACGAGAATATTTCCTGTTCCAATGCATCTCTCGTACAATTCAATTCCCCTTCCTGTCCTTTCCTTACAAGAAATGGGTAGGAAGGGAAAGAGGACTAAAATAAAATAAACAGCGACTCGTACGATGTGCATAGCCTACAATACCTCGTCTTTCCTCTCAGCGTTGTTCAACGGCAGCGGCGCAAGAGGCTGCGGGTTACCGCCGCGCCTCATCTGCTCCACCGCGCGCTCCACCATACGTCCAAACGTCTCCTCATCTACTGCCGGCTTGCAGTGCTACAATGTTATATTGCAAATGATGACATCACGATAAACTACGTCAAGGTACATATATAAATCAGCTATGAACCGATTCAAAATATCAAGTCACACGTAAACCGTTGAGCTGTAGCTCAACAACTAGTAGCATATGATTCATTGTGGTGTACTCTAAATATAGAGCCAACGAGTCACGTACTGCTTAGTGACTCGGAGTTCAAAACGTAAATAATAACTCTATCTAGGTACAAATTGATCTGCGAGTCACTGATCTGCAGATCATCAATTTTAGTTCAAATGTTATAAAAAATTAATCGTATATATCACCTTCTTTAACTCCTCTTGGAATGTCTCACTACTTTCAATGAATTTTCTCTTCTTTGCTTCAAACTTCTCCTCAATTTGTTGCAGTTCGTCTTCCAATTTTTTCTGATGCATTGTCAACGATTGGACTTGTTTCTTCAAAATCTATAAAACACATTTACTTTAAAACCTTAATACGAAAAGTTCAAATCATATTTCTACTAAACTTTATTATTACCAAGTTAAATACCAACATATAGCTAATAATGATCCTTCGAGTCGGATAAGTCAAAATAAAGAAAAATACACCTTATTCATGGTTCTTCTTTAACAAAAAAAAACGCTTAAATCTCACTAGTTTTTAGTCCCAAACACTTTTCAAGCATGATTATTCAATGTAAATGGTCCTTCGAGTCGGATTTGAATAGAACTATTATATAAAGTTTATAATATACATAAATGATATATTACCGTACCTGCATCCTAGCAGTGGTGACCACAGATCTAACATCAGGGACTACCGTGTCTGAGAATATTTCATTTATAAGTCTATGGTTGCGGAGATACCGCGCGTACGCCACGTGCTTCACTGATAGACCCTCGTCTTGATCTGAAAGTTGTCGCATTAATCCAATTATTGTGTGAATAACCAAAAATAAATATCAAAAACTAGCTGTCGCTGACGACTCCGTCTGCTTTTGATTAAGACAAAAACATAATTATTAGCCTATGTGTTCTTCCAGACTATGTTCAACATCTATGCCACTTTTCAGCAAGATCTCTTTAGCCGTATATATGGGAAAAAGAAAAGGGCTGTTTTTACGGTTTTCCCGGCAATTATTCGAATTTTTCTCACCTTTTAAACCTTCCCTAGACTTCCACGAACATTTCAAGACCAGAATAAGATAAATCCGGTCAGCAATTCTTGGGTTTTAACGTTTAACGAACAGCAATTGATTTTTATTATGAAATATGAAGCAACATAGAAAATTACCTTCTTCATCTTCCGCTGGTTGTATATCAATTCTTCTGTCTTGCTGCTGCTGTTCCTTCTGTGAGCTTCCCTTCTTGCTTGAACTCTCTTCTTCAAGATTACCTACTGCTAATACAATATGTGTTAAATACGAACATATATTTGAAAAAAATAATATATAGTTAAACTTTAAATTGTATTATTTAACTTTGGTGTCTTTGATAATATTAAAAATTTATCAAAAAAAATATAAACTGCTGTCTTATTAAATTAAGGTGTTAGTTCTTAACTCTCCCAAACATGCCCGGTTTACATAATTCCAGTCCAGCGAAATTTATAGTTGTAATCCAGTGCTGACATTAATCTGTCGACTGGAATAATGTAAACTGGATATTAAGATATATTGAATTGTAAAAATCTCACTATTCTTAAGTTCTCACTTATGAAACATCCATAGTTTTAAGAATGTTTTTCACGTGAATGTTTCGTGAGTGTGAACGCATTCTTGCTTACCTACTGCTTTGTTTTTGGCAGCGATATAGGCGAGATATGCCGGCGAGTTGTGGTACGCCTTCAAACTCTTTTCATACTCAGACTAGCGTTCACAAAGCGGTCCAACGTGCAATGTATGAGGTGAGCGGTGCATGTGGGACAAAAATGGTTATTAATATGTGCAAGTGTTAGTCACAGTTGTTGACAAAATCAAATAAAGAACAAATTATATTACTTCTATTATATTTTGACATTCAAGAAAGTTGCCGGTAATATTTTTTTTTAATATTAGCAGAATTTTGTAAATTTATTAATATTTCTTGTACCATTCCAACTAAGCTGTAGGCCTGTGCTACGGATTTAAGACAATAGTAGAATAGCGGTATTCGAACCCCCGACCTCGCGATCGGGAATCCGCACCCTTAACCACTAGGCTATTGGCGCTTAATTACAACCTTTTTTTTCATAAATGCTTTTTTAATGATTTTAAAGAAATATTTGTTGTTAAATACTCTATATTATAAAAAATATATATATTTGAATAAAACTCTCAAAACTTATTTTTTTTTGTCTTTTTTTTCCATCAATCATATAACGGAACGTAGAAACAATATGAATGGGGTTACAACAGCTGTATTGATAAAAATGTGTTTCTTATTGGATTTAAGAAAATTATTTTTATTTGATTTTGTATATCGTCAAACAAACTAAATGAAAATGAATGGATAAAACAATAAACATAATGAATAATCTTATATACTAAACACCATTTATTATAAATTATAAAGAACTTTTTAATACCATTATTGAATATATTTTGTAACTAGCGGACCCGACAGTCGTTGTCCTGTCTACACGTCTTTAATTTAAATAAATTAATATGAAGTTAATATTTGTTGAAAATTGTGAATCTAAACCATTCCCAGATCCCCTTGAACACACAAAAAATTTCATCAAAATCGGTCCAGTCGTTTGTGAGAAGTTCAGTGACATACACACTCACAGAAGAATTATATTATTATGTAATGATTTCAAAAGAATCATTAAAATTAATTTAATAAGATCAATATCCCATCGGTTACAAAAAAAAAACATCCCACATATTTATCATTGAATATATATTGCTAAATTCATGTTATGTATTTACGATATTATCGTACATAAGCCCATATTAAAATGAAGCTAGTGATGTGAATGCGGTGTACACAAACTGATACCAATGGTTATTTTAATGTGGTACTGTACGGGTTCAAACCTCGTGTTTTGTGCGCCAACCACTGTATGTACGCGGGCGAACTTTGGTATGCTTTCATCATTTCTGTATACTGCGCCTATGTTCAAAATTTTTTATTTTTCAATTTTATGATTTTTCTTTTAATAATGTCAAAAAATGTATTAGTAAAAATTAAATAATTTGTAGTTGTCATAAAGTAGGCAAGATTTATCTATTTAAAAGTTTCTCTAATGTATTTTACATACCTAAACTATATAATTTTTTTTTATTGCATATTATATTCAGAAAAAATACCGTATTTTTTTTCCAATGTTTTGAACACATTTTTTTAACCCTAAGGGTATATAGCCCTGATATATTAGTAAAATAAATTTTACCTTTTCAGCCTCATATTCATCAACAAATCCAGCTTTTTCAGATTCAGGTAAATCCCTCCACATACCACCGATGATTCTGCCGATTTCCCATAGCTTCAGATCTGGGTGAGCTGCTTTAACACTGTCCCAGACACGACGAGAGTAACGCATGTATGGCATCAGTGGCTTCTCTGGAGCCTTCGGTGGCTTTGGTAAAGAAGAACCCTAGAAAGTGTCACATTTTTAAGAAATTTTCGAATTTATTACCCAATTAATATTTTTACAACAACTATTGTCTATATAGTTGTAAGTAAAAATAAAAAGAAACGCACCGATCCAGATCCTTTTCCAATTTTTTGCGGCTGAAATCCAGGATGTGAATGCACGGTGGATATAAACGGACTAGTTTTATCATCTTTTGAGGCCTGCGTCGTGATGCCCCCTCCCCCCGAGGTGGCTCTCCTCGCATTCTCTGCAGCGAAACGCGGTTGTTGTGGAGGCGGCCACGCTCCGAAGCCTCCGTGGGACACTGGCCCACCTTGGTATTGCGGGTGGTACTGGTATTGGTTATGGTGTGGCGGTGCATTCATACCGCCTTCAAGCCAAGCAGCGGGCGGCAATACAATGAAAGAAAAAACAAAAAGCATAAGGGGATAGGACAGGAGGGGGGCGAGGATAAATAAAAAAAAAGAAAAAAAATCATAAATGCACTAAATTTAAAACAATTGCTTAATCATAGTTTAGTATTAGTTTGAGCGAGCGGTCAGTAATAGTAGTAAGTGTTATGTAGGCACTAATTCAGCAGAAAATAGATAAGTAAAGAAGTGTAAGATGGTATATGCTCGTGATTTTGGAAACGGAAAATTTTGTGTGTGAATTTTTTTTTTTAAAACCCCATAAAGTACCTAAATCCGAAAAGGATGAGAATGTGAGAATAAAAATTTTGAATAGTAAACTAAATAAATTCATTTTATTACCTTTCATCATACCGAAACTCATTGGGGGCCCCGCAATCATGTAGTCTGTTTCAACATAATATAACATGAAACAAAACCAACAAAATAGAACGATATAAGTCTATAATGGATAAAGAATAATAAAATTATAAGAAAATCATAAGAGAACAAGTTGCAGATGCAAACAATCGAACGAGATAAAGCAAATAGAGGGCAGCATGCTGGTTTTGAGTTGACACTGCGGTTAGATATTACCAGCAATACCAAGAACGCACTGAGCCTGCCAAGCTTGCATTGCAAGGACTCTAGCACTTTCATGTTAAATTAAGTTAGTAACTAACAACATTCTATTATTACATAACATACATATTGAATTATTAATTCATTAAAATATTCAATTTCATTAAAATAATACATTAAATTTAGTCTTCAAAAAATGTAATCAGGGACTACATAATTTAGATAAGGAAATATACAAACGCGGATTGTTCTGCGGACTTGGCATAGACATTGATGGGTTCTGTTTGTAACCCGGTGTGGCCATACGGAAAATTCAACCTGAAAAGAAAAATATTAAACAGTGTATATTAAACAGATAATCCTTTATCTGTTTAATATACACTGGATATGGGTTATACTATAATAAATGATTAAGCTTTAATTACTTGATTGGTAAACAACAATGACTCTTTTCACATGTTTCAGTTGTTTTAAAAATGCAAATGTTTATTTCCACTAAAACATATATAAAGATAATACTCGTGTATTGTATAGTTATAATTGAACTTCTACTTTAAATAATATCCTCGTAAAATATCAGGGAATGCTTGGATGTGCTAAACAGCAAAATGTAGCACGCTTTTAAACTGTAGAAGACTATTTAAGACTTAAATTTACAGACTAAAATGTTTTTAAAATTGCAACTGTGTTGTTAATTAACGAATTATTATTATTATTACAGTGCCGTAGCATTGTAGCATCGAGATTATAGATCCTCAAAGCTTAATAAACAATTTTTGATAACACAACGATTTCATACCGGCGTGGCTTAAAAACCATTGGTTACTTAAACTTGTCTTACCTGTAAAGTATAAAACTAATTAGATTTGGAATCAATATCCTTTGTATGTTTTTATTAGTATTTAGTAGTCGAAAACGAAAGCGTCACTTTGCCATCGCATTTGATTTTGACAGCATGTTTTTCCGACATTTTGCGTTCGCTGTCATTAAACGAAACCACAGATTACTAATACCAAAGAGATGCAGATTATTATGCAGCTCTTTTTTGATACCTGTATCTTGGGTTAACTCCCAAACGTTTAAATGTAAAATAAAAATGAACATTGCTTTTTTTTCTTTGAGTCATACCAAATTTCATTAATAATTTTAGCTGCTGATATTGGCTCTGTCAATTAAATAACAAGGTAATTTCCAAACTAACCTGCGAACTGAAATACAACTGAAAGTAGAAGGGAAGGTTAAGATCATAATGAGGTCAATTATGAATTGTTACATCAATGAATATTTACGGAAGTTGGCAGTTAACAGGCTCAATAGTTGCCAAATCTATATACCTAGTGTTTGGTCCACCTGGATGTTAAACTATATAACCTGCAAATAGAACTATATATATATATGTATTTTGTTCCGATTCACGGTCTATGACCTTACCTTACTATGATGTAACGACTGAGGTCAATTTTATCTTAACGGTCACCTATTGTTTATCGACCAGTGCATGATTATCTATGTGTATCATTGTATAGGTTCCTATAGATTCAGGGTTTAGTTTGTAAATAATTTAGACTTTGAATAAACTGGGTCGCGACACGGAAATTGGTACCAAAGTTCTCCGTCGTCTCGAACTTAATTTGACTGTGACCCATTGTAACCTGATTGATTAGGATCGATATTGTTCTTTATTTTAGACGTCTAAACCATCACTGGAGATCACTACTTCATATAAACTGTTCCATATCTATAACCCTATCTTCTCTGTTACAGTCAGGGATGCTTAGCTTTGAAGAATAATATTTAGGATCTTTATTTAGATTATTAATGTAGTATCAATATACAGTTGATTGCTGGCAAAGTGGTATGAGTAATTCCGAAGCATGCATTGCAACGTGCTTTACTTGGCAGCTTGACATTTTGTCGTCTAATTATAATTAGTTTTATGATTTTTGTTATTGCTTAGAGACGGAACTATTTGTTTTAAGTATCAATATTTACTTCCAAACTACTATTTTATTTTCAATTTTTCAGTGAATGCTCGCAACATATAGTAATTGCAACATACGAAGAACAAATATAATAAAACACTTTTTAAATTATGTCTGAAATCTGTACGTAACGATATCTTTGAGGTGATGACGTATGGATCGCCCTAACCTTGGGTAATAAGCTAATAAGATGTGCTATTTCAGTTTGTATAGATGCATGTAATCTTTTTTTTTTACTGTGGATGGTGGTAACTTTCATAATGATCTTATATTAGACTACAGCAAATTGGAATTTTAGCGTTTATTTTATTTACAACTTTTGACAAGGGGACGATAAACACTAATACTTTCGTGACCATCAAAGTTGCAAGTAGTTGCGCAAGTACTACCTACCAGGTAGATAGGTATGCCCATTTGTTCTGTTATTGTTTTTTCCTACTTGCATTTGCTTGATATTGTAACTATCACAACATATGCTTGTTTACAATAAACATGGCATTTTATAGGTACGTTTATTTACATTATATAAGACTATTCGCATATTTTCACATTGTTTGAATTCTTTAAACATATTAGTGAATTTAACCTTCATTAGAAGAGGACGTTTAACGCATTTGGCGCTATACCCTGTTCAATATATTGCATACAATCGGTAAACTCACTAATCTTTGTTAAATGCAAGTGTTTTGTTGGTGTTTTGTCTAAAAATAATGTTGACCTATCGTCGCCTTGCACGCGCGTTCTCTGTCCCCGGCCCGCGCCGATACCGCCGCTGCCGCGCGACAGTTGGTTCATCGACATCTTAGTGATAACACGTGTGTGTTTGCGATCTATTTGTCTGACAGCAACAATGTTGGTGAAAATTTCTTTCCCCCTTCAACGTGCTTTCTTTGACGTTGATATGTTGAGATGTAAAGAACTCAACAATTTCGAAACGGAATGTGTCCTGCCGAGACGGTTGAAACGCAATTTGCCGCCATTACCTGAGGACAAGGAATGCAGCAATATGGAGCTCAAAAAGTCCATTAAAACCGTTCACCGAAAAAGGCGCCAAAGACGACTTCGTTTACCCGCTTTACCCGAATATGATGAGAATTAGAATATTTGGTTGAAAGCAATTCAAAATGCCGTCGAACGGCAAGTGAATTTGTGGCAAAGGTGAAAACACTACGTCAGGTGAAGTGTTGTTAATAATGAGAGTTGTAAATATATTTGAATACCCCTTGGATGTGGTGAACTTCTGCTGTTTGTTCGCCCAAATCATAATAAGTTAAGAAGTAACAAATGGGGAACAAGATTAATTATTAAGGTTATAATTAATTAAGTGATTTCATTGTATAATTTATTGTGATTTAAGCTAGTCACGTAAATTAAGTCTTAATACTGAACTATAATGGAAAAATACTTTCGATTTAAGATATTTAGTTTTAAAAGTGTTCCTTCTTGTATTTACCAAAAATATTTTAATTGTTATTAGTACGTACATCTTAAATTTAATCTAACTTTAATGTTGATATGTTTGTGGAATTTTACTTGGTATTAACGAAAACATATTGTAAACAAGTGATGTTGTGGTGATTGCATTGTTTGTTTATTGTTTTGAATTAAAAATATCTTTACAAGTACACCAAAGTAATTTAAGCTTCATAATCTTTACAATCAAACCTATCGTTTCAAGGCAGGTACTTTTAAAATTAAGTTAAATTATAATGTTGATAGTTTTTTGTAATTTTTTAGCCAGATTAAGACTTTAGACTGTGTTTTGTTCATTTTACATTTTTTTTGTATCTGGGGAAATCTTCGTAAGATACCCTGCGCGCAAAGGAACGAACCGGAACTTGTTCATTCTAAACTTAAAGGATTATATTTTTTTATTTTGCGCTAGAAAAATTCCTTGTATTTTATATAGATTAACAGTTACTTTGATCTGTGATATCTGATTGGTTGCAAATGAATGAATAACTTGTTTTAACGTTTAATTTTAATACATTTTATAGTAGAATTTAAAGGTTGTTTCATTTTATATACCCTAACATTAAAGCCTACGTTTGCATAAACATGAGTAGGTATAAATGTTTTTGATAATGACGAACTTGTGTAACTAAGCTACGACTTTCTTCAATTATTTACAATAAAGGTTAAAATTATTTAATAAACTGCAGTCAGTGACGACAATTTGAATATGAGTTCGATAAATAATTTAAAATTTCTTAAAGAAATATTGATAGTGGTATCAGAATATTAAATATTCCACGACATTATCATGTTTTATTGTTATTTACCGATATGTTTGTTTACGACGAGGCGCAGTATGATTAATTTCCATACATATTGTCGTCGATGTTTATTTAAATAACTCAAAGAATTCATTAAGTAATTTACAATTTGGATTTTAATTCAATAAATCACAATATTGTAAGAAATGATGTTGACGAATGCTTCTTTTATTTGGTAAACGAAAATCAGTTCGTTTACCCAAATAGTGTGGGAAAAGGACAGAGAGATGATCCATTAAATCGAAATTTTTAGCCGTTGGACTGATCGTCGTTTTAAATCCAACTATAGACCAAATTAGATGTTATATAAGCTATTATTAAACAGTTTGATATTTATTTAACTAATTTACTTTAAATCATAACAAAACATTAATATTTCATTCAGATATATTAATGTATCAATCATCATTTTATCTTTTAAATGGATTTTCTAATCTGTGGTCACGTCAAGAGATTGCATTTTTATCGACACTATTAATAATGCGTTCTGTCAAGATAATAATAAAATGGTCGTGTACCTGGCCTGTAATTTTTTTTTCAAAGAAAAAAATCGAAGTAAAATGGCCAACTTACGTTATTTATGTTTAACTAAAGTCTATAATACCCACTATAGGCAGGCCACCGAAAATATGGACCGTTGATCTAGTCTAAGCTACAAAGTGCTCTGGGTGAGGGTGGCAGACGACCGGGCGTAGCTGTGCCGAATAATTGTATGTCCACCTGAGGCTCAAATCACTTGACTACTGCGCCGAAAATTAAAAAAAAATCAAATTTTAGAAATGAAGTGCAGTTAACAATTCGTTTGAATAACTTATCGGGGCAATGATTACTAGGAAGCTTTATTGTACAAGCAAAAAATGTTTGATATCTTGAAGTTAGCAATTAATAATTGCGCAAATCACGCAAGAAACCGCAGACATGTTGTTTCTCTTTCGATCTCTAGCTCTTGTATATACGTTTGTCTCGCTCACACTTTGGGTGATATGAACTAATTTCAGATTTTTTCAGAAGATTTATCAAAATTATTATACTTGATAAATTGAACGTTTACAAATAATAGTGATGTAATTATGTGAATCATTTGCCGTATCTGTGATAAATAATATATTATCTATAAATCAAATATATTATCTACAAAATAATGTTAGACATAGACAAAACAAATAATTCTTATCGATGTTGTCGTTGTTTCTTTTATATGTACATAAATTACATACTTTTAATAATAGTATTGATTTGTTTCACTTTGTAGCACACATGTTTTAAATTATTTCACCAACTGCAAGAGGAAAATCCATGAACAGAATTTAACAGAGCTCATACTGGTGTTGGCAAGGATATCGCCAACAGTTTTTTTTCTTCCACTAAATATGATTGTTTTTTTTTCTTTAATAAAAGTTATTATAGTACCTACAATAAATAAAAAAAACGAGTTTTTATTTTTCCGAGGCACAAAATTGCTTCTACCAGTTAAAGGGTTAATAGGAAAATTGATAGAATAGGTCTTTTCTGGAAAATACAGGCTCAAATAGGTGGATCTTACGTTTTGTTGTCGTTATAAAGTGATCAATATCTACTACATTCCGGTTTAAGACCGCAGTAGGTCAGTGAAAATAATGCACCAACCAGACACAAGCACATTTAGATTGTCCTATTCCCGCAAATACTTTGTTGTAATGGCAGATCGAAAACTAGGAACTTTTACATCATAAAAAACTATCTCTAACTTAAATCAG